ATATATGTATATATATGTATATAATAGATAGATACACATGCACTGGCATATGCAACTGGTTTTGGACCTAGTTTGGGGCACCAGACTTCTGAAATTGCCAGGTGTTGTTACCAGCATGCTTGCAACTGGAATTGGGTTTTGCAGCATTCCTGCAAGCCTTCGGTCAATATGCAAACAGCACTCCGACATTGCTTCTCCGGGTACTAAGTCGCTTGTTGAACCTCAGGTGCCTTAGCGGAGGCCACCAGAACGCAGCAGCAACTTGTCTGCTTAGAACCTTGGTCCCGCGCTTCAAGCGGAGGTTGCCATTAGCGGGATGGAAGACGAGGAGACGTTGTAGGGACTCTTCTGGAACAAGGATGAATCACATTAGCTATAAAGGGGGCGGGGAGCGGCAACACGTGCAGCATTTAGAGCCAGCTGCCTTTCTATCTTGGGTATTATGCGTGCCCATGTTACTAGAACTTCCTTTCAGCCTGATTAGGACCTTGTTTGGGGACTCCTTCAAGGAACCGTTATAGGAGAGCCACCCAAACCCTGTTCTGTATTTGTTAAGGCCCTGATACTAGAACCCTTTAAAAAGAAACCCCGCTTTAATGATTTAGGCCCCTATATATGAGCCCTGAACTCTGAACTTCAAAGCGTCTGCATCGCCTAAGTTCTTGGGTTACGGCAAAGTCTGAGGTTGGTTGACGATTTAAAGTCGAGAAATGCTTGTCAGTTGAGCAACCTCAAGAACAGTTTCACTCACCACCGACGAAGCACTAAGAACTTCGCCTGACATGTGAGAGTTCCATCGCCTAAACCCTCGGCTTTAAACCCCTAAACCCTAGACCAAGTCCGACAGTGAGTGCTGAAACCCTAGACTTGACTAAGGTTGGTGCCCTTGGCGCTGGCGCTCCATGGATCCTTGATGCTACCAGGCACACTCACAGCCGAGCTGCAGGCCAGGCGACGTGGGGTTTTCTAGGGTTCAGGCTTTAGAGTTGAGGGCTTTTGAGGACGATGTAGGGTTCAGAGCAACGTAGGGTCTCGACTTCCGAATGTTTCAGGATTGCGTCGGCTGACGGATTATAGGTTTGGTAGTGTCGATCTAGTATAAGGATGTATAAGGCCCATTATAAGGCATAAGGCGGTTCTACTAGTTGCGGAGAGGTGTTTCGGGATACCAGCGTAATTTATGCTAGGGCTTTGTGCCAGAGGCCTTCGTATGCATAAAAGTCCAAAGTATAGACCTGTGGCGAAGACGACAGTTTGACCGTATCCGATTTTTTTGCTTTGCTCTGCGATGCTATCCTGTGCTATGCTATACGACCTAGACTGGTGGTTACATCCACATGGAGTCTGAATGTACTGGCGGCAGCTGTCCCGCAATCTACGTCAACTCGAACCCTGGACCTGGGCAAGTTCCCATGCAGTGAGAAAACTTGGCTTTCTGAGTTGCGCAGGCCTGGCTTTCGAGAGTCGTCACTGCCACGCAGATGCAAAATCTGTGGTAACAAAATCCTCTTGGGGGAAGATATTAGCAAGGCCAAGGCTTCGGCTTTTCCTGCCCAGCACCCCCGTGGGTTCGCGGATGTTTGAGGTTTCGACTTCCGAGTGTTTTCTGAGGCAATCCGAGCAGTTGGGGCCACAGTTTGATATGACAACATCTGCTCAACCTCACACTCTCCGTGATGCTCACCACTTGTTCATCACAGCGGGCACGTGCCATGAAGACTTACATGCTTGGCAATTTGGAATTCCAAGGTCCAAGATCTTCAGGCTGCACAAGGCCCGAAGAGCGCTAGGCAGTGGGATAAATTGTGCAGGCTTGGACAGGGAAACCGCCAAGCCAATTGTAGGCTAGCTTAGCAGCTAGACCGCCAGAAGCACTGTCCTCCGCCGACAGGCTCCATTGCGTCTTCCATGGCATTGCAGCAAATGGCACATGCAGTGGTGCATGACGCCCGCGGCATGGAGGACCAGAGCTGCCGGGAGGATAATCTGAAGATGTAGGGCCCACGTGCAGTGCTGCCTTCGCAGATCTCCTGTGCTTTTACAAGAAATGCCGTTTCATCTGGCACTTGCTTTCTGCAGCTTGAGGCTGGACTCATCATCTGAACCCTGCAGATCGGGGTCGCAGATTTGACCCTGCATGAAAGCGGCTGTTCCAGAGGTAGACGCATCTGGAACCACTGAAACTATATAGAACGAACATACCTGAGCGTAGAGCCCCAAGCCCTATAGCTAAATGAACCCTGGTATGAGCCCTCTAAGGCCATACCTTCCAACGCTACCCTTCCTCAGATGCCAGGACTTGTTGGAGAAGTCTCGCGAGGTCTTCTACGACTTGACATCCATGTTGCAGCCGGGGTCTTGGTCCACATGGCCTGTCGTGTATCCTGGCGGTTGGGCATCTAGGACAGTTAAGGGCCTCGTTGAACCAACTATCTCTTTGTCTGAAAAGCTATTTGTCAGTGTTTTTGGGTCGGGGTTGGGTTTCTGAGCGATGCAGGGGCTTGAGCGTGGCTCGGAGTGTAGCCATAGAGTCTCGGTGAGGCTTCTGAGGCCACACAATGGGCAGTTGCAGTGCTAACTTCCTTGCAGACCATTGTGGATGAGCTTCACGTCCCAAACCCTACATCCCTAACCCCTATACCCTAAACCCCTAAGCCCTACACCCTAAACCCCTAATCCCTAAACCCCTAAGCCCTAAACCCCTAAGCCCTACACCCTAAACCCTGCCTTTTGTGTGTTTGCTCACAAGTCGCCAGTTGCTCCCGGCCTGGCGGGATGGAGCTTCGGCTCCAAACCCGCAAGGTCGAAAAGGTCTAGGGTCCTTTAAGGTCATGGTTAGGGTTTGGGGTTTAGGGATTAGGGGTGTAGGGCTTAGGGGTTTAGGGATTAGGGGTTAGGGATTTATATCATCAACAGTAGTAAGTCCTAATATAGAAACCCCATCTTCTACTATATAGGTACATGATACCGCCGGAACAGTTCTTTATCGAAGCCGCGACCTCCCCGCCCCTTTCCAACAGAAACACGGACCCTCAGCCCCAAACCCTAAGCCCTAAACACTGAACCCGAAGTCCAAAGCCCTAAACCCTAAGCCCCAAACCCTAAGCCCTAAGAACAAAACACCCTAAGCCCTAAGCGCGAAGCCCTAAACCTTTCGCCCTAAGGCCCCGAACCCGAATGTCCCTTCTTGGCACCAGGATTGCCATGGCTCATCTCAACCCCTCGGAGCAGCGCGCGGTGGAGGAGCTGCGAAGGGTGGCTCGCCAACAGATCAGGGTTTTGGGTTTAAAGGGTTCAGGGTTTTGGGATCAGGGTTTAAGGTTTGGGGTTCAGGGTTTAGGCTTTAGGGATCAGGGTTTACGGTTTTATGGAGTGCGGGGTTGTGCAGTCATGAGTGCTGCATTGCTTCACGGCGACGGCAGTTCCGGGCGAGAGAAGCCTGCTGCAAAAAGGGTTTTATGGAGCCTGAGCTGTTTTGTTGTCTTTCTTGTGCTATAAATCGAAACCCGGACCCCCTAAACCGCCTAATTACACCCTTTGGAAGCCTCAATTCGACCAGGCTCTCGACAAAGACCTGGAGTCGCTAAACGCGGAGGCTCGCTATTTGGTCCTAGGAGGCCTCGTGCAACTTGGCAGAAGGGTTGTAGGGTTTTTAGGGTGAATTTCGGGCTTCGGGGATGTGTGATGTGTCTTGAGCTTCAGCGGTCTAGAGTGCTTTGTGCCCAGAAATATTTGTGAGACAAAAGACTTCATTTTAAGGCACTGAAGGTGTAGGACACTCGGAGCCGTTTTGGGGGCTTCAAGCCCTGATGAGTTGAAGGTTTCCGCTTCAGGATTTCACGCTTTCAAGCCTGACAGTTTAGATCTTCAACACGTTTTGATGGCATTGCAGACTTGAAGGTTTGCTCTAAACCCTCGTTAGGTTCACAGCAGAGGCTCTTGCAGGCTGGATGCAAAAAACAGGTTCTGATTGTTCCGGACGAAGCATGCAGGCAGGCAGAAAAGGCCTCTCCAGCTCCGATCTATCACGAGTGTATCATACCCCCACGTTGACAGGAGTCCCATGAGTTTGATGCTTTTAGTCGGGCTCTTCCGGGAGAGCTGCGCGTTAACTTGGGATCCGATTACATGGGGATCTATAGCAGGGCACCCTGGTTTTGTGCAGGCTCCTGTCAACCTCATAGAACACCTGTGCTGCTGATTGTAGGACCATCTGAGGTCAGCAGGCAAGACCAGCCTGATCAATGCGATCTTACTCGAAGCGGTTGCGGGCGCCCGCGAGGAGAGAACTTGGGGCGGCCCAGGGCGCGAAAGCTACATTGGTTGAGTCGGCTACAGTATCCGGCTTCCCACCACAAGGTTCCCTTGTGATTCTGGTTTGGAAAGGTATGTCTGGTTTCTGCTGTCCGTGACATGGCACGCCGGAGTCGAGCTAAGGCGTTGTAAAAGAGGTCTTGATTGGGTTTGGAGGTCGGGCAGCTGCCTGAAACAAGCGATCCACGCATTGCGACCGTCCGAGGTCTTCAGGTAGCATTTGTGGCTCGGAGGGAGTCAACAACAATCATCAGCTAAAGCATAATCGTCTCAAGACTGCAGAGGAGCTAAAGGAGGACCGGGGAGGACGCTTGAACTTGATGCCCACATCCTTCAACGAAAACACTCGTTTCCCGGCGGCAGAACTGGGCTTCGCTGGCTTTCTTGCTTCGTTGCCACGAGGGTTGACCAGCAGAGCTTCCTGCAATCATGCAGCTTTCCCCTACTAAGACCAGCAGCTTCTAGCACCTATGTCAAGGTGAGTTTCCAAGTAACCACTTATGCTCCTATAGACAACTCGAAGACAAAATGACTCGCGAGGCATCGTCACAGAGCTGGAGTTAAGCCCGTCCTGCGCCGCCATCGAGATCCGACTCATGGAGAGTGTGCTGGAGACGGTGCGAGAGCAGCATGAACATGGGTCTGCAGGTGGTAGCAGTAGTCGTCGTGGTGGTGCTCGCTGTAGGAGCGGAGTAGGCGTAGGAGTAGGAATAGGAGCCAGAGGGGCCATAGCCGTAATTAGCAGGTAGTTGTAGTCGGAATGGTAGTGGACTGGAGCAGCAGCAGCATGGATTTGGTTCTGGCGAACTACACCTGTCCGGGACAGGTTGAGGGTTGAACAGTTTTTTGCGCTTGTGGTTATGCGTATTGAACAGGTTCGTCAGAAGCCCCCAATGCCCTCGACACCATCTCAGTCAGGACCAACGGCATCTTTACATCTAGCCACTTTTATGTAAGTTCGGCAATGAAGCATTTCAGAGTTCCGGCCGCTATCATGGCCCGAATCATCATATCATAATAGCAACACTATGCCTACTCCGTCAAGGGGTGGGCGTGGTGCGACCACGCCCCGCCGAAAAGCATAGTGACGATGCCAATAGGACCACGCATAACAATGACACATGACAATCATCATCGACAAAAGTTCAATAGTGGAAAGTGCCATTAAGAACATTCGGCGGGATCTCAGCCCTGAACCCAAGACCTCAGCTGGGCAGGATCCAGAGCCAGTGCCCCTTCAGGAGGCTTTTGCTTCCTTCCGGGTTTCGGGCTTTTGGAGTGGGAAAGCTTTGGGGCCACTGGGGCGGTTGAGGTTACAGGGTATGTACGATCCGCCTTTTGCAGGGAAGTGGTTTGGAACCTGGACTGGCGGGAGTCAGTTGCTTGTTGTCGGGATGCGGGTGTGTCTGTAGTGAGTGGAGCGAGTGTTCCAGCTGCCGCCTTTGACTTTCGGTAGCTCGGAGTTGCAATTTTCCAACCTACTTTGTCCGACTACAGACGCTGACCTAGACTGCACCCTGCTCCCTCGATCCGGAACCCGGTGCTACACTGGTCACTCAGAGTCTACGTCACCTGGCGCATTCGTACGTGATCGTCGTCCAGCAGCAGCAGCAGCAGCAGCAGCACGAGCCCATGCCTTGTCAGCCTTGTTCTCCCTCCGGCATTGTCGTTGCAGGCCGGCGAGGAGATCCGCCCGAATGCTGTGCGGAATTTCAAGCTCTCGCAAGGATATCCGGCTTCGTGGCGGCAGAAAAGTTCGCACAGAAAGTAGATGCAATCGTGATCACTTCCGAAGACCACAACATGTTGCCACAATCGGAGAGGTTGCATAAAATACTCTGATACTGCCGAAACCCGAAGGTGACTCCCAAGCTCTTCATCTGTTCTCTCACAGCCCCAGCAACCTTGGAATCCTGACAGAAGGCCCTCCCCGCCCTGGAAGGTAGTTCTCTCCGGATCTCGTCCGCTGCGGCGATTGTTGCTCGGTTTTCGAGTGAAGCTGGCGTGTTTCATTGTTATTTGATGACCCCTGTGGCCGCGGTTGCTACTCGAGTTGCGTGCCAGCATCAGTAACGCTAGTTTGTTTTTTCTGGTATCTTGTCCTGGGCTCTTGGACTTTGCCATGTTTCTGCTGGTGCCTGGCAACCGTGTCCCGTTCTTGCTTTTCCTTCTGTTCTGGCTTTGAGGTCCATCCAACGGCCACCCTAAATTCAACCCCCCCCCCCCCCCACAGCGCCAGGTCTGCCCTAAGACCCGACAAGCCCTTCTCGAATTGTGTGTCCCGATGCTAGCATGCACCACTCCCAGATCTGAAGGCAGAAGCACCTCCAGGAGCTTTGCGCAGCGGAGGAACGGCTTGGTTTAGGGATGATACCTGTCACATAGGTTGTGGTTGCACACCTTAGAATACATTGCTTATCACTTGATTGACTTCTGGTAGCCCCTGTAATTCCATCTGTGCAGGCTCCTGCAAGTTCCCATCGGCGCCTTCATGTGCTGCGGCTCAGCAAAATGCACAGGCTTAAGGGCGTTCATGCGTTACGTTTTGTGGCTTGGTGATAAGCTGCAGATGCTAGATTATACAATTACAGTAGTGAGTTATTCAAGTAGTTCATTAAGTTACTCAACTAATTAAATGGTTAAATAGTTGAACAAACAATATATATATATATATACTTACATACATACATACATACATACATACATACATACATACATACATACATACACACCTACTATATGTCAGATGTTAGCTTCGGAGCTCAAACTGCCAGATTTGTTCGCTTGCTCTCTAAACCGAGTCTGCACTGAACCTTCAGATGCCCACAGAACCTGCATACACAGGAAACAGAACCATGTCACTACTTTGCCAGAAGTTAGGATCAAGCGCATCTCGGAAAACCACCCGCTTTGGGGGCCCTCAACCCTGTACCCCTGAACCCAGACCCAACACGCCATGCCTCGTGCGAGTGTGTGAGTCAAAAGCCCTGAACCCCTATACACCTCTTCACACCCAGGCTGCCCTCGCGAAACTTGGAGCGTGCCCTCTCGATCATCGACACGCCCGGCCTGGACAGCCCATCCGTCCCCTGGCAGCGGAAGGGCCCCTAGTGTTAGCGCAAAGCTCGGAAGTTGGATGCAGCATGGCATTGTGGTCTTCAGAGTATGTGTAAGATGGTAACTGCATAGTATTATGGCAGGGTATGAGAGGTTCGTTCGCAGAGTATACAACATGATGATCCTGAGAACGTAGCTTCCATCCATGGAGCCGAGGTATGGAGGCAAGTCTCCGACTTGGTTCAGTCGAAGGTGCTGTGGCCTTAGAATGGTCGCTAGGTTTGTGTCGTAGTGGAGGATAACATAGGTTGGGAATAATGAGGAATGGTATCCCTCATAGTCCCCCTTATAATGCCAATCCTCGGGTCAACAGTCCGGCAACGAAAACGCCAACCATGTTGTCGAAGTGTTGGGGATCTGCCCTCGAGGAATTTGAGGGTTTGGGGTTTAGGTTTGTTGTGCACACAGGACCTCCCCCGTCTTTGGTGTCTCCACAGATTTCTGATTGCGTAATGGAGCCCAACATCCGATTGAAGTAGCAGACCACCGACGCCGTGATTCGCACCTGAAAGACTTGAATACTTCAGAAGAACTATATCATTCGAGCCGCGGGAGTCCAGAAGGCAACTACGCCAAGTACTGAACCTTCTATGCCTGAAGTTCAGGCTCAGACTCTGGCACCTCCGACAACTCACAAAACTGTGTCCAAAACCCTAAACCCTAGCACGGTAGACCCGACCCCTGGGAGGAGCGCAAGTATCCGAACCCAAACCCAGGATGGGCAGCAGGCATTGCAAACCCGAAAGCCTCTCGAATCATACGCCTTCACGCCTTCCTAAATCCCAAACATACCAGGCCGTCCCGTTTCCGGAAACCCTAAACCTTAAACCGACTTAAACCCAACACCAAAGCCCAGTACCAAGCAACAAAAACCCCAATGCCCCAAGGCTTTCCTTTTCCTTTGGGTGGCCTCCTTGGACTCTGCTTCGGCCTTCGGCCTGCAGGGCCATCACCTCCTGGAGCTCCACAGGCCCCCCGAAACCTCTAGCCCTAAACCCCTAAAACCCCTAAACCCCTATAGATCCCTTTAAAGGAACCCTTATAGATCCCTTTAAAGGAACCCCAGAAACTAAGGAATCTAGTGGTTTAGGGGGTCCTAGATGAGTACTGTCTTGTGGGTCAAGCTGGGTAGTAAGGGCAGCAGACGAGCCCCTTGTGAAAAAAGGGGGGGTCCTAAACCTGTGGGGCCAAGGATCTACCGCAGACAAGAGACGTCATAGAATTCTTGCCACAACCAGTCTAGCAGTCTCAGTAGGGGTATATTGGTGAAGTGAAAGTTCGGGTGCGGGATCCATGGCTGCAGGCATAGTAAAGTTTTCTGAATAATTAGCAACAGTATTTCCCCCCCAGCCAAACAGACAACTATGAAAGCCCTTCTGGTTTGGCTTTGCCGAGCAAGCTGCTGCCAGGCAGTGTTTCAAGCTCGCGGCTTCACGGATGAAGGTATCACTTACTGGTTTTGACGTTGTTGGTTCTCGTAGGTTCGTCCTATTCTGAAGCTTTTAAAGAGTTAACTCCTGGGGAGTAGTTGAAGTGCGATCAAGAAGCAGCATGATGGCGCACTCGGCATTTCTGTCTACCCTCGCCGTTTGAAGTCGAGGCTGAAGCCATCCCTGAACCCTAAACCAGAGTCCGAGTTGCGAGAGTCCAAACCCTAAACTATGGGTCGTTCAACAGAACCTTAAAAGATGTAATGCAGGTCGTTGCCCTTAGTCTCAGCCGCTCTACAGCTTTTGCGCGGACAAGCGCCTTAAGCCTTCCATCCCCGAAGCTGCACGGAATAAAAGGGCCTTAGGCATTTATCGTATTCCTTAGGTTTCCGAAATGGAATTGTAGTAATATATTACTCGAAGCCCTCCCGCCCCTGAAGGCGAAGTGGGCACCCGTTACCTCCTGTTCTGGCCACTGCCTCAAGGATGCCTCTTTGGGCTCGTGGGACTCGGGGTCGATACTGCTTTTGCTAGTCGTGCCGACGCAGTGCTATCCCTTTGACGATGCCATCTCGTATCGTGGTCTGCTGTTGTCGTTGCTGCTGAATACAAGCCACGATCTACAGTTTACATATACATAACTACAACGTATGTATACTTATGTGTGGGTATGTATCTATATTATATCTATATCTCTACATATGAGTGTCTCCTACCATTATTCTTACAATTCACATATACACAAACCCCAAACCCCAAAACACAATAAAATATGGCGTGAAGGCCTGGGTAGTCTACGGTTTTGTTCGGGCTTCACCTTTGCGCCTTGACAAGCACTTGCTAGGAACAGGGCTACCGACGACGATGTAGTCTCCCCCTTGCCTACGGTTGCTACTTGCGGTTGTCTTGTCACTAGGGAGACTGCATTTTCCTTGGAGGCCCACAAGAGTCTTTTTTCCGGAGTTCGAACTCTCATGTCATCCCTGCGGTGCGACTTGTCAGCTGGGCGGGTGGGAAAAAAAACACAATAATTTCCCACGGGATCCCAGAGGTGCTGACCAAGTGGGATCGCCTGAAGGGACTCCCGGAGTTCCAGGAGGACCCGGCAGCTCTGGCAAGTCCTCCGGCAGGAGATATGATCTTTTGGGGTTTTAGGGTTTAGGCCTTAAGATATGATCTTAGGGCTTTTGGGGTTTTAGGGTTTAGGCCTTAAGATATGATCTTAGGGTTTAGGGGTTTTGGGTTTAGGCTTAATAACTGAATTCTGACCCTTTTATTAAACACACCCTTAGTAATAGAAACACGTTGGGCCTGGGGCGAATCCTCTCAAAATGATCCCTGCCCTTTACAACCTATTCTGAATTAGGGGGGAGGGTTTCGAGGCTCCAGATACCCTTGGAGCACAGTAAGAGCAAGAGCAAAAGCCATCAGCAAGAGCAGCAGCAAGAGCAAAGCAAAAGCAGGAGTAAGATCAAGAGCAGGAGCAACAGCGTGAGAGACAGCAAGAGCAGGAGCAGGTGCAAGAGACGCAGCAGAAGCAAGAGCAAAAGCCAGCGCGGGTGCAAGAGCCAAAGCAGGAGCAAGAGCACGACCCCTCAAAAGTGGCAGTTCAGATTAAAACAATACCCCCGAATAATAAAAAACACTTTCCGAGTTTCTATTGAGGGGAGCCTTTCGTTTAAAAGTAGGGGGAAGGGATGAAGATACTATGATCTAGAAGCCTTAGGGCTTTTGATCGAAAGAGAACCCTGGAGCAATAGCACTACTATAGCTCTCAAGGCTTGAGAGCTAGAGTAATGCTATTCCGCAAGGGTTCTTTTTTTATCAAAATACAGTATGGTTTTGGGCACATTCGGGTGTAATCCGGGGGTTCGGAATAGTAGTAGTAGTAGTAGTAGTAGTAGTAGTAGTAGTGGTAGTAGTGGAAATAGTAGTAGCAGCATCCGCTTGCTAATCGGCCCCATGTAGAAGAGTCAAGAATTAGCACTTGTATTCCTTAAAGCTCCTTATGAACTTGAGGGCTGGTACACTAAACCCCAAGACTCTATTCTACCCACCAAGGGTTGAGGATTGAGGTTTCGGGTTCCGGGGTTGGGTTTACGGCTTAGGGTTCTTTGGTTGGCCTTACGTGCGATAGCAGGATATAGCATGTTCAAAAATCAGGAACAAGTATTGATGCAAGTCTTGATTTTTCTGAAACCACCTATGCGCAAACGTTAATTCAAACTAAATGGGTAGTTGTCAAAATTATGGTCCCTTTTGGGGTACCCCAAATAATAGGTGCCGTATTATAATAAGGACCCAAAAAGGGACCATAATTTTGACAACCACCCAAATAACTAGTTATACACAGCGGAGGCCAGGCCAGGGAGCGTTTGGCGCTGCTCCGACGCAGCACGTCTCCCCGAGCTGCCTTCTGTGTGCAGTGTGCCACTGCTGCTTCTCATCACAAATAAATAGAAGTTCTGGCTGAGATGAACTGTAGACTTTACAGCGGAATCCGGGCTTAGGACTTGCGGCTTGTAAGCTTTCGGAATGAGGGTTTGGGGCGGGGTCCCCCGGCGTCCCTTCGTACATGTTGTGTGGGGATGTGTCATCGGGAGGGGTTTTCCGTGACCTGAGCCTTAGGAAGTCTGGCTGTAAATTCTGGGGCTAAAGGGCTTAAAGGGCTGCCTGTGACGTTGTCTTTTGCTGACGAACACGTTCTCCTGCTTGACTCAGTGTGTGTGCCTGTACGTGTGCGGCGTGGTTGAAAGTTTCTGGTCCCACTGATATGAACCAGGAAGCTAGGAATAACAGGAGTGTGAATGTGTGCCAACCGGATTAATAATACTCCATCATGATTTGGGCAGTGCTGATGATTGCTGATGGTCTGCATCATTCCCGAAGGTAATCCGTTCACGTGTAGCAAGCGTTCCATTATGCATGGGGATTGTATGACGCGGCCATTTAAGTCTTCACAAGAGAAGGCAAGTCAAGCGTGGTGGACGCTTCTGGATTGGATGCTGATGCTTGCATTTGCCGCCCAGTCACCGCAGCCTCGCCTTACAGACGCGGTGCCAGTGTCCGTGCTGTGGTCTCCACCTCATGCAGAGGCCCCGCTTGGAGCAGGGAAGACAGAGCAGCGCATGCTGTTGGCCGGAAGCACATGTGCAATGGCTGTTGCTGCCCAGTGCCGAGAGAGAGTGGCTGAGCTGCACTCATCGAATGCAGGCATGGCTAAGTTATCTTCCTTTTTGCTTCTCTTCTTGTGCTTCATGTCATTGCCATAGGGCTCTCGGCTTCGATTTCAGGCGAAGTGCAAGAGCCGCAAGGCTTTTAAAGTCGTCTGCCGGGACCAAGCACTTCCACAGAGCAACCTGGATGAACACGGAACGCTCTTTCAAGAATTTGCGGCACATGTATTTAGGAGGGGCTTCACACTGTGCAAGCCCTGAAACGTCCCTGGATGTCACTGCTCTGGTAGTCTTCACGAAGCGGAGCTTGACCATCAAAGCTGAGGCGACAGCGATGTTGGTTTGTTCACCTCTGGGCGGGCCGTGGTCGACCAGCCCCCGAAGTCGAAATCAGATGCGCCTTGGCAGCTACTGGACCGCCTTCACAGTGTGACAAGCCGGTTCACAAGAAATCTGTAGGAGTTCAAGTGTGACATCAAAGTAGCTAGACATACCTTGCGCTTACCGACACCAGAGATGGAGTCATCGGAGTCATCCAGAGGGTCCAAGAGAAAGAGCTTGCGGCCTCGTCTGTCATAGGGGCTGAAGAAGCGCTCAAATATCAGTAGATTGTGGATTTCTCACCAAACAAGTCTTACTCATATTGGTAATCATACGTAACAATGCAGTGTAAGACCCTTGCTGGAGCCTAGACCTCAAAGCTTGACCCCTTGTCTAGCCCCAGTCGGATCCGATTTCGCAAGGTGCAGCCAGCTATGCAGCATCCATCTGGCAAGAGGTTGAAGGTGACAACCCGGAGAGGGGGGCGTCGGGTTGGGCCAATTCAGACTTTAGAAAAACTTAGTTCCCCAACACCCAACCTTGAAACTTTTTGGGTTCTTAGAAGTTAGTAGTAATCTGAAAGTTTAACCTTTTATTTCCATGGTTTATTGGGGATGTAAGAAAATTGCCTATCTCATCAGTGAAAGGCTTGCGCTAGAACTCAAGCCCTGAGCCTGGCACCGTCACAGGTCATCGTGTTGGGCAGCGGATGGGGGGCAGCATCGCATCTCGCATTGATCGAAGAGGGAGTTTTCGAAAATTAGGGGTACCTTATTTGGGGGTCCTTATAATAGGGGTCCTAGTATTTAGGGTGCTATATTAGGGTCCCCTATTTTCGGAAACCCCCATGATCGGAGCTTGCTTGACAGTTCAGGGCACGTGTCTGTCAAGGTGCTTGTCCGAAGTAGGCGGTCTCTTTGAACAGGGCCGTTTTGGAGATTCAATGCCAGATTCCTTTGCTCTACCGTTTGCTACTTCGAATATCTGCGACCTCACGTTACTATGCCTTCAGCGGAGCAGCAGTCCAGTCGCAGGAGTGCCAAGGCTAGTGTCAACAATAGGATTCCGGCACATGAGAAGGGTATGACACGACATCCTTGGGTACAGCCGAAGCAGTTTAGTGATGTTTAGTGGTATGCTTGCTCGGCGTATCTTATCCAAGGTTCCTGAACGCCTTGAGCCAGCAGGAGGACGGGCTCACGAACCTAGGAGTCCATGTCTTCAAGACTTGGTCGGTGTGGCGGCTTGAGCGGTTGTCCTCCTGGGATTTGGGATGATTGAGGGCTTCGGGTGCATTTGGTCCCCCCGGCCTTCAGTCTACAGAACATAGGCATCGAGGATTGTAATTCAGCTCAAGGTTGAGACTCCTGCTGCCGGAAGCCAGGCGCAAATGTACGACATCACAGTCGTGTCCATGAGGAACTTCTTTCTGCCTCCCAGCTGCCAGAAGCTGCCCCTCCCCAACTCCTACAGGGTCAGGTCTTGGGAGTCTCAGGGGCAAGGAGAATCCTGTGTGGCAAGTCGGGTCCTGGGTTGCAGTTCCACTGAAGCAAGTTCAAAAGCGTGGAGTTCGGGCTGTTCACATTCGGCTAGGTACACGCCACTGCTGCCCACCTGCACGATGGGATCCATCGAAGAACGTTCCATCGTGACTCCTATCCGTGAGATGGCCTATGGAAGCTTGACGGACAGAGGTTGACCGTTGAGGCTCCAGGTCTTCATGGGTTGTGGGGGAGACATTCTCGAGAGGTGTGTATCAGAACGATGTCGCCAGTTCTTCTCAAAAAGGCGTTTTGAGAAGTGGGCTCATAGCGAGTTGGATATCCGTGACTCACATTTTCCCGTCAAGTTCGCTTGTCTTCATTCAGTGACATTTGCAGTACCGGCCTGTCCGTGGATGCACATCTGTGAATAACATATGTGTGTGCACTGTACATACCTGCGTACGTACGCACGACTGTACATAGGCACATACAGATACATACATATGTACATATGTATGTACATGCAGGCATGCATACATCATTAACTACATACATACACCTACGTGCACATACACGTACTCATCCAGGTACAAGCGCTGATACACATCCACGCACACATACACACTCACTTGTAGTTGCTGTGTACAGTGTTTCGTCATCGTCGCAAATCGTATATAGCACCCCAGAGCCCCTTGAGCACCTGATATGCAACCCACCTGATTCAGCCCTGGCGTGAGACAAAGCCACAAAACGGCGCACAACCTACAGAACCCCTATGTCGACCACTTGCTTAGGGCATACGGTAGAGTCTTTCTGCAGCCAATCTCAAGCCTTATAAACCCCAAACCCGCTCTGTTTGCCAAGGAAAAGCCGACTTTTTAGAGGCACGTTGTGAAGCCATTGACCCAGAGAGCAAGAAGACGCTGAGCTGAAGGTTTAGGATTAGTCGGGGATCAAGATTTAGGGCTTTAGAGGCTTAGGGTTTGCGCTTTGGAGAGGCTTGTAAAGCTTGTGTAAGGGAGGCACGAGAAGCAGTAGGTAGGTAGGTAGGTAGGTAGGTAGGTAGGTAGGTAGGTAGGTAGGTAGGTAGGTAGGTAGGTAGGTAGGTAGGTAGGTAGGTAGGGAGGTGGGGAGGTAGG